TGTATAGCCGCTAGTTGGACCTTGGCCACTTTTTAAGGTTCTCAGTCCTATACACAGACGGTAGGACACCTTGGACGGGGGATCAGCCCGTCGCAAAGCCGCTACCTACACAGAGAACAACACAAACAGAAAAAACGCACAGAGACATCCATGTTTAGAGTGGGATTCGAACCCACGATCCCAGCTTTCGAGCGACCGAAGACAGTTCACGTCTTAGACCGCGCGGCCACTGTGATCGGCTTATGCTATAGATGCCCACAGAAAATTGATGTAGGTCTTCGTGAAGTGTTCATTAGTTTTGCCGACTTAACCACAGCCAGTATAAGTTAAAGAACTGTACTAAAAGTCCGCAATATAAAGTTGCGCGGCAACCGTTCGAAGGTTCTCGAGTTGCTACATATGGTCAGATGGACGGACAGACACGGCGAAGCTAACAGAAGAATTTTTGCTACTTTCCTGTCCGAACTTACCAAGTGTTACACATGAGGCCGCACCTCACACAGTGAGCATAGCTTAGTTTCCTCCTGTTCCTTACTCGACGCTAAATAATAGTAATTACTAGCCTAGGAAACGGAAACAAACTCATACACACACTTCCGGGACGGAAGGTTTAAGGGAAGTAGAAAATATTGGTAGTTGACGAAATATTGTTTGGAATATTAGCAATAAGGCAAGGAAAGTAAATGCAAATTAGATCATATGTGCCCGGAGGGAGAAGAGAAATTTGCTTTAGGGAGATCGCAATGCTGTGCGGGGAGGGGGGCTGTCACGGACTGCTGGAGAAGACTAAGAGGCTGGCAATTGCAAGAGGAAGGAAGACTCTCACAGGTGTGAGATGCTGGTCGTGTAGTCCTTTGAGGGTGAATGTAGCGCTTCCATCTTCAGTGTGGACGAGAAGCTCACGCAAGAAACCAGTACATAACTTGTCCTGCTTCATAAATGTATCACCCAAATGGAAAGGACGAGTAAAATAAATATATTGCAAACGTGTGTTGTTTCTCGTGGAATCGAGAGAGATGTCCCTTAAACGCCAGCGCTGCCCAGGATGGACGCACTTGATTGCAGAGAGAAGTAAATAAACCGAACTAAACAAAATACCTGGACCCCATTGTCTCTGTGGACTGATTTGAGAACGTTACCCACTGTCTGTTTGTCACTAAATACCGTAAGGGTCTCTCTTTGATTGCATAATAATATCCTACGTTTCAATTTGGAATTCAATCCTTGGTTCCTTCATGTCTGATAAACAGATTTGCAATATCACGAAGAAGTGTGCGAAACGGACAACCTGACTTTGCTTAGCCTTTCAGACAGACCCTTCTCCAAGGCTTGTTTACAAGTGCCTCGCTCGCTGCCCCTCTAAGCTCAACCGCGCCGAAACGGGTCCATAGGCCAACCAGCAAATCTTCTCAATATATTATTTTGCTTCGTTACTGAACTTTCTACTTAACGGAGCCAAGTGCTCGAGCTATTGGCAGTGACAGGCCTACTTGCCGCGCCATGTTTGGTTTCGGTAGTTAATACACCCTACACTGAGCCCCCAGGTATTTGCTGAGTATGTGGGAAAAGTTGTCAGAGTCCATTTAGGGTAAATTCAAACAAGAGTTGAGAGGTGTACTTCAACGGAGTGTACTTTCCGAAAGTCATCTTTGTGATTCTACAGTCTGCATTGTTCTTTGCTTCCCTTTTTGTACGTACATACGCATGTGCATGCAAATAAAGCATTAGTCAACAATGTTATGGCAGAATAAAAAACGACATTTTAAATTAATTGTGATATATCTATTATAAATCGGGGACACTGGTCGAAGCACTATGCTACAAGCCGGAATGTCGCGGATTCGAGTTCCGATGAGGTGGACTTTTTTCAATTGACCTAATCCTTCCAGCAGCACTATGGTCCTGGAGTCAACTCAGCCTCTAATAGAAATGAGTACCAGGAATCTTCCTGGGGGGTAAAGGGCGGATGTCGTGTGTTAGGCTGACAATCTTACTGCCATCTGTGAGCCGATTTTCTAGAGAAAGTGTGGGAGCCTCGACGTCTCACGACCGTATGGGCCTTCACGGCCTGTTACAGGGATAGCTTTACCTGATTTTTCCCTATTACAAATCTGTAAAGAAAGATTTTCTCACACCTCACAAACTTGGGCACTAGTTTCTTTACTTCTCTATTTTTATTTTACTGCTCATATAATTTTTATCAGCCATATTGTAAGAAAGTTACATTTTATTAGCCAGTGAGTCTATTCTGTCTTAAATAACCTTAACACTTCAGACTGGAATAACCGTTAAAAAAAGGTTCATGAATGTTACAGTGAAGTAATATTTGTTTGTGAAATCACACTGCATAGCCCGAAATGATTGTTAATTGTGTTTGGTTAAATGTTTGCAGCATGAGGAAACATTTCAATGTAATTTGTAGAGTTAGATACTAAGCTTGCCTAGTGTGGCCGCGCCATAGCTCAAGTGGTTCGTCGCTGGCATCCTACAGCGGCGGCCCGGGTTTGATCCCGGGTCTGGTCAAGTGGGATTTGTGGTGGACAAAGTGGCGCTAGGGCAGGTTTTCTCCAAGTACTTCGGTTTCCCCAGCCAATCTTCATTCCACCAATTGCTCCACAATCACCCTCACCTATCATCTGGGGCTAGTACAATAGACCAGAAGAGACTTAGTCCCACCCCACTAGCAATAGAATAGAACAGCTTGCCTAGATCGTGATGTGTTGAACCGATTTAAATTGTGGCAAAATTCGACTTCATCTTTATATAAGTACAGGATGAAATCAAAACTAAATCAAGCCGACGAGTTTTAATGCAGATTCCCAGTACCAAGTTTCATCGGTGTCTGGTCGCGAAAAGTCGCCGCCGAGTGCACAACACTCTGGAAGTCCCTGTTTCGAATCTCTGCCCGAGACCTGTTACCCTGACTCAGACTTCTTCTGGCTTCTCTCAATCCTTCCAGGCAAGTTCCGAAACAGCCCCTCAATTTGCACGAGGACAGGTTCCTTTCACATCCTTTCTAGTTCATTATTCACTAATCATCCTATCATTCGAAGTTACGGGGCCTGAGATATTGAAAACGACATTCAGTAAGCCATAAATAAATAAATACGTACATAATTCGTCTTTGAGTAGTTTCGGGGATAAAGCAATTGACATACGGGGATGAGACGGCTCCTCCTATAAGCCCATACCTTTATTTCGTGCAGTTTGTGCAAATAAAAGCAACGCATTATGTTAGTTTGAGGGATTAAGGGCAACCACGCATAATTTCAGTGAGGCAGACAGCGCAGAAACATGTCGCAATACTGAGACAGGCACTCCCGTTGGCCGCAGGACTTCTAGCAAAGAAATTTCACACGTACGGATGTTGATGAAGGGCGAAAATTCAAGCTCATCACGACTAAGGAAATACTTCACGATTTGAGACTTAACTGGTGACATTATCGTCATAACTGTGTAGACGGGGGCAGGATCGTCCGATGACAAGAAACGCTTCCTTACGAATCGCTTGTGATTGCTGACTGATGACCACTTTGCGCCATCTAGGGCCTGAAACGAGAATTAGACACTAGGTACGAAATTAAGCCCCCCCCCAAAAAAAACATTTCTCAACATTGTCGTGGTGATGGGGCTTGCGTGATTCTGTGACCTGGAGAACTATGCCGGCGGTAGTTTAACTACCGGTAGGGTCACCCATGCCGGAAAGGTCAAAGGGTAGAGTCCAGACTAAGAGAGATACCCTGGTCCTCCAGGTTGGGGGGTTGGGCATGAGGCTAACAAACTCATCCTGTAAAAAGAAATTTGTTCCATTCCTATGGCAGAACGCATTGGTTGTTGAGACTGGTCGTAGAGGAGGCCAAGGCTCACCCAGGGCTGTAGCGCCGAGTGGTAGGTAATAACGCAGAGTGCAGTGGATGCTGGTCGTAGAGGAGGCCAAGGCTCACCCAGGGCTGTAGCGCCGAGTGGTAGGTAACAAAGCACAGTGCAGTGGAGACTGACTGTGGAGGATGCCAGGGCTCACCCAGGGCTGTAGCGTTGAGTGGTAGGTACGAAATTAAGCCGCATCATATTCTACCTTATTTGAAGCGAAGTAATTCTGTAGTTGATACAGCGTCGTTTAAGTGCTAGTTGTGTTACAGCTCCGCGGCAAATGCACAACCTCTGTTAGTTGGCCTCACGACCCTCCGCGCTGTAATGATGGAGTACATACAGTGATCCTGTAGTTACAGGGCACGATGTGGCATACGGTCCCGCGGTGTGAACGCAGGAAAAGAATAAGGGAGAGATGCAGGGTGAAGATGAAAAACAGATAAAGTGAAAGAGAGATAATGGGGCGCTAGTAGTAGATGGTTCACAGGTCGTAAGTTAAACTGTTCCATCAGACGTGAAGCAGAGGCCACAACATGAAAATTAAAGACTTGAAGTTGTTTCAACATGGGACACTAGAGGACATGCCTACATTGCAGAGCGTCTGCACAGAGGAAAGTGCTAAGTAGTCCTGCAAGTGATGATTACTGATGCAGAAAGTTTCACTACAGTAACTTTTGGCTACCAGAAACTTCGGTTATGAACTGATCACTTAGTTTCGATTCGGCCCACGAAACGGTCTGGATATGGAGGAAAATGGAAAGGTTTTTACGTCTCTTTGGAGGACTGTAATACATCCTCGCCAACTAAGCTATGCTGACCATCCCATCCTGCTGGTTTTATTAACTCTGCTAAGATCCCGGCCGAGAGGAGTACAGATCGGAATGCTGCTCAGTACTTCTCTCGTTGATCTGGATCTCTGTTGCTCCCCGAGACCTCGCGCGGGCCAAGTTTCCACGCACGTAGAACCAGACTTATTGCAGTGTTGCCCCTAATTATCGGCATGGCTGTGACACTGAGGTGTTATCACTCAGCGGTCGTGGTGCTCGGGTCGCGGTCGCTTCCCCCTCCACTTCCTCGCCTTTCCCGCCGCAGCAGCTGTGGAGCCAGCCTCTGTAGTGTTCAGTCAGACCGCCAGGAACCAAGACGTACCGCGCACAACACCCTGGACTATGATGACGATGGTGATAATGGTCATTATAAAAGCGTCAGTTTTTGTCTCCGCGGTGATTGGCCTCTTGGGGAACGTCGGTATGGCAGTGTCACCAGCAGGTGGTGAGTCTTCACAACCACTTTTGGGGGTTCTCTCTAGAGATTTTGGGCGGGTTTAAGGAGTCCGAAGCGGTGGGTGATGGAACCAATTCATTACAAATCAACAGTGATAAAAGGGGGTACTTAGGAATGTATTTGAATTTACCAACCCTCTTACTGCGTCACTTCCGGAAATCAGTGACCTCCAGCTAATGGCTAATAACAACATGATGTAAGCTTATGAGAAGGGAGTAGATTTCGTCATGCCCATGAAAGTAACAATGTTGGCGCATCTAACGTTTGTCTGAAGCACCGCAGGGCCATTTTGACGATAAGCTCAAAGACTGCTAGCAAAGAGTGACGCAGAGCTGATGTTACTGCTTACGTAATGAGCTGTGTTTTGCTAATAGATCAGTTGTCGTAGAATGTTGTATCCGTTCAGGTGCAATTCTCATATTACAGTCGCCATGTAGAATGCAGCAGAATCAAACCTGTGTAAACAGAACCACCACTAAGTTGCAGTTGTGTGTGTCACACCGCTACATTGCCGGACCGCAGTGGGATGTCGGGGGGTGAAGGAGGATGCAACACAGCTTCGCTCGCGGACGCGACCTTGCACCAACTCAATGTTCCAAATTGTATTGCCGGAAACCAAAAAAGTCAAATTACAATTATCTGCTGTTTTAGATTTCGGAACATCAACGCTGCCAACATGTGCCCCCTTGCTTGTGGGTAAATTGTATAAGCCAGTATATGTTAGGGACTTGAGTTTCGGATCGGATCAAATGCTCTGTTAAGTGGCTACTTTGTTCCATAAAACGCGATGAAAACAGTTTCTTGAATGACACACAAGTTAAAACAATGCAAACTATCAGCATCAACAACACCCGTTGTTAAATTGCCAAAGGAACGCGAAAACTGGAAACAGATTGGGGTAAATATCGAAGGAACGAATGAACGCCTGAAGAACAGAAACAGGCGCATATTAGGCCTACTCCAGCGTCAGCTCAACGTCACAGATAGAAGGGAACATAATGTACGTTATTTTCCGTACGATATATATTTGAATAATTAAAATATTTGTAATACGAAATAAAGGAAATAATACCAGCCTATATTTTCCATTCGCCGAAATAGAAGTTTATTAGTACTAAAAGGATAACGCGTGTAAAAACCAGGAAGATTTTGAGAGTAATTTTTGTAACATCTTAGGTTTGCTGCTCTGTAATAATATTCCATTTAAAAATCTGTAATTTTTTCCTATAAAGACCTTTACTGTGGCTTAACTGTACGCAGGCCGTTATGGTGCCACAGTACACTCGGATGTCACAAGCACAGAAACCTGACACGCAGTGAAAGCCGTAGCTCGGGAACGGAATTATTTACACTGTAATATTTGGATGTGGAATAATACATCAAACCCTTCAGAGGAGGGCCGAAGAACACGAACAGAAATTGCATGTTTTAAGGAGCCGTAGCGGCGGTTTGAAATAGAGATAAACGTACCATAACAGATGGGCACGCCAGCAAACAATATCTTTCTGGTTTACCGCCACCAGTATAATTCCTCATTCCCATTAAGTTGTATTAGCCCCATACTTATCCATGGTTCTGCTTCCTCCTGTTGGACCTTGGCCGCGTTTTCAGTCCCTTAATCCTGTACACAGTCGGTAGGACTCCTTGGACGGGGGGTGAGCTCGTCGCAAGGCCGCTACCTACACACAGAACAAAACAAACACAATGAATACATACAACATACAGAAATCCATGCCTTGAGTGGGATTCGAACCCTCGATCCCAGCGTTCGAGTGGGCGAAGACAGTTCGTGCCTTAGACCGCGCGGCCACTGTGATCGGCATTGGCCGTATATGTTCTCAATAATAAGTTGTGCAGTACACGTTATCGGCTGATTGTCACGCAGAGTTGTGGAACTGCCTTGCCACTGTTAGCGTGAACAACTCTTCCCGAACCACTTTAGCATGAGTTAGGCCTGCACCAGCATGCTACGCCTCTCCCCGCATTCACTTGATGCCATCCTCCGTGTGTGTTCTCTAATCGATTTCTTTTCAAAGAAATTTCTGCTTTACGGCTCAGACCACTTTTATTGTTTCCTTCGGCCACATATTCCTACTTGTAACCACTTGTAACCAGTACTAGAAAACCATGAACCACAAAGTGCATCGGTCCATTCCCCTCTGGGTACAGCTCTGTAAATCCTTCTCTCAGAAATGTAGAGGCCTACACATACAACTTCATCTCTGCAGAACCGGTAGCCTGCATTTCCGGAAAGTACACGAATTCGTGGCTTCCAAATGGAGCTGTACAAATGCACGTCCTCTTGACCATGGTTACTGAAGCGTGTAGAAGCTGAAGCCTTCGTTTTCGGTGGGGGGAGTTGGCGAACTCCAGACCACTTACTTTTATTCGGCATCAGCTGGCCACAGTGATGTACGACCGGAAGTGAAACACTAAATGCATAACAAGAAAGTTAGCGTGCTTCCCACTAGACTCCCAACTTGGATGCAATCTGTTTCCTAAAACATTACGAATTGCAGTGGGTGCGCGCGCAGCTTCACGTGTCTGCCATTGTAATGCGATATTCCAAAAGAGTCGATTCATTTTTTCTTAAGCACGCTGTGTTTCTGTCTCGGTTTCACAGAGGACCTTCACTTTAAATGATAAGTTCTGCACCTCACTCCGCCGCGTAGGTTTATGAGCGGCGACCCATGCGGGAGGGAGCAGAAACCGTAGCAGTTACCTGTGTTTCAGTTATTCAGTATTGAGGGGGTGGGTTTCCCCATGCACCGCGACTGATAGTCTATTGTACGTCCCCCTTTTAATTGCTACTGTTTCCATCCCCTACCGGTACTGGTGCTCGCTATCAGCCCCTTTCTGCCAGCGAGGTTTCTACTCTCTACTTGGCAGTGGTATCTAATAGTTAGTCCCTTTCTGTCAGCGAGTTAGTCCCTCCTCTGGCAGTGGTACCCAATACTTCCCCATCTACCGGAGGCATTGGAAACTACTTGGGCGGGAAACTTTTTGGCCTAATTTAGCTCAGAGGTCTCCTAGAGACATGAGGTTCTTTTACGTGCCGTAAAGCTACGACACGGGACCCACGGCTTAAAGTTCCTCCCGGAGGAATTGTTCCCTGAATTTTTCCGCCCTTAAAAATTCCACGACCTCCGCCGGGTTTTTGAACCCGCGTACCTTGAGTCATGAGGTGGGAACGTTACCCCTGGACTACGGAGGCCACTGTTACATGTGTTAGTGCAGAGAGTCGCGACAGAACCAATCAGTGACAACCACGAAGCTTCATATGTTCGCTGCTCTGAGTCTGTGGGCCTATGTGCCTCATTTATGAAACAAGATTAAAAAATCAACGTGAAAACTCAGCACGAGTAGTTAGTACGGAGAAATAGCTGCTAGACATCCAGCAATAAGGATGGGTCAGTCGGTATAGCGATGGGAAACGGGTTCAAATCCCGGCAAGGTCAAGATTTCTCTTTCCTCCACAACGTCCAAATCGACTCTGGGGCCTACCTAGCCTCCTATTCAATGGATACCGGGGGTAAAGCGGTCGGGGCGTGAAGGTGACCATTAGCCTTTATCTAGTGCCGAGGTCAAGAATGGTGCCGCTCTGCCTCTACCTGCCCACTCGTATTCGTGGCATATCGCTTAATTAATTAATTAACTTTACTTTTACCCCAGAATTCATTCCACAAAGTCGTACAGGCAGCCAAAGTGACACTTGTTGTTGTGAGAGCCCTTCTCTGTACGGCAGTGCCGAGGATCTGTCAGGGGTCTTTTCGAGTCTTCATTCGGTAATTTCAGCGACAGAACTTACACGATTCATGTCCAAACTTAGCCGTCGTTCTAGTAAAATGTAGCAGTAACTTAAGAATGTCAACGTCAAAGCCAAGCTCATTTTCAGGACAACTGCGGATTTCTGCCAAGATCATGTCACTTGAATTAAAAGTGTTGCGGACGAAATTGAACTTGTATTGACAAGATCTAGAAGCTCGTGACGATGGTACTTTCGTACAACTGTTATGTTCCTGTCTCCGGAGACAGGGACTAGCTCTATCGGTTGGGCCCACCTGAAAACTGAGACAGAATCCAGTCTCCGAAACTTTGTGTTTTGAAATACAAAGTGGACGTTGGATAATGTCCAGAAACATAATACCAATTTGTATTGTATTAGGAGGCCTACGCAGCGCTGTTTAACTCTTAAATTCCTCCCGAGTGCATGATGACCTCACGCTTGAGCCTATCCATTTCTGGAATTTGCCTACGACGTGTATTTAGAAATGTGGATCCCTGCATCGGGCCGGGCCGATATTCCATAGACTCCAAATTGCATTCTAGGTTACCGTCTGTTAGGTCAGTCATGTTAGTAAGTGATATTTTGAAGTACCCACGACCAGACCTCTCACATTCATAGTTACAAAACATGCAGGAAGAGCCTCGCATTCAAGAGACCTTGGTTCAGTTCCACAGCACAGTAAGCCAGATTTGTAGGCGAGCTGTAGTGCTCACGTGTTCTCATGCCATCAGGCAGCTCTGTATCGACGGATCCCTAATTATTTTAATATTACAAGTTTAGCTAAGTGTAACTGTCAAATGTGATTTCGGTCCAGTATGGACAGCAAACTGGATTAGCGCTTCACAGAAAATCTGAACAAATTTTTATATATATTTCGATAAATATACGACACAGAATATTTCCTATGGCCTTTTAACATTTTTTGTTTCTGATATGAGTGTCGAGACAATAGTTGTAAAAATTTTCATATTCTAAATTTTTCAAGTGACCTAATCCTTCCAGCCGCACTATATCCCTGGTGTCGACTCAGCCTCTAACAGAAATGAGTACCAGGAATCTTCCTGAGGGTAAAGGGCGGCCGGCGCATAACGCTGACAGCCACACCGCCATCTGTGAGCCAATTGTCTAGAAAATGTGGGACCCTCGACGTCTCAGAACCCGATGGGCCTTCACGGCCTGTTACAGGGATTGCTTTATCTTA